CACATCAGCCAAAATTTAACGGAGGGACTAAAAAGGGGCCGGATTTGTAAACAGTAAGGACCAAAAAGGGAATTTTTTCGGTATAGGGACCAAAAAAGGGCTTTTTCCCATAGTAGAGGGACCAAAAAGGGTATTTAACCTAAAAAAAATAAGTTTTTTCGTTAGTTAACCTGTCACATTAGTCAAAATTCAACGGAATGACCAAAAAGGGCCGGATTTAAAATAGTAAGGATCAAAAATGAGATTTTTTTGGTATAGGGACTAAAAATGAGTTTTTTCTTATAGTAGAGAGATCAAAAATGGTATTTAACCTATATGATTTGGCTGAAAAATCGCGCAAGGGGTCGACACCCTCAATAAAGTACCGGCACCTTCAGTGAAGCGCTGACCGGATACTCCGCGGGTTTTTGGCCTTTTGTGCAATTTTGATTAATGGCAGAATGACAGTCCTGGTCCCTGACTCCTGGATTTCGCTCAAGTTGATCATCATATTTCTGATCTTTTCAATTTGATCCTTAATCAAGAATGGAGAAAATCTCACTTGAGCCTTCAAACTTTTAAATTTGATCCTTGCACCCTCATCTTTCTAGCTCTTTATATTTGAGTCCTTTTCTTTTAATTCTCTCCATTTAATTATTAAATCTTTAATCACCAAAAATTTACACAACATAAATAGAATGAACAATTATAAAATTACTTGTAAAAAAATACTATTCTTAAGCCTATAATTTCATAAATATCAATGATTAAACATATTTTAAATATATATTTTCATACTTTCATCTGTCTGCAAAATTGAAGTTGACTTATTTAGCCACGTGCAGAACAGCGAAAGCAATGAACAAGCTTGAATCGTTAGCCAAATGGAAATCAAGGAAGGAGGAGGAGAAGGAGAGTGGGAAAGAAGAAGAAAAAGCACAAAGAGAGAGGAGATGGTACTAATCATTTGAGGAGGAGAAGGGTTCGCTGGAGTTGACACAAAAATCTGAGAGGGAGGAGCGTGTAGCGGAGAGGGCTAAAAACTGGAAAAAAAAAAAATTAGTCCCAATGAATCTCATGGGGCAGCCGGTATAAACTTTTTTGAATGGGAAAGGATGGGATGGGATAAAAATATCCCATCCAATCAGTCCTCCAAACGTCGGACAGATAAGGATAGGACCCATTTATCGAGTGCTCCAAACGAGGCGATTAGGTTTTCTAACGTCTTCTATATGCAGATCCGCAGAATGAACTGGAGACCCGCAAAATGAACTGCAGACCCGCAGAATGACACTGTACACCCATTTTTCTAGACCCTCCAACATGGATGACAAAGCAAAGCGGCCGTCCCCTCTGTTGCTTTTTCTCAGTAAAGATGAAGAGAAGATGTGCTTCTCCTCGATCGGAGATGAAAAACATCATTTTGTCCAAACAACACCTCCGGAGCTGCACGGCAAAGAAGTCCAGGCTTACTATCATGGTTGGTTTATCTTGCTTGACAAAGAGAATCAGCAGAGATGGATCTGGAGTCTATGGTACCAGGAAAAAAGGTACTCTCTCTGGAATCCCCTGACTTTCGAGTCAATAAACCTACCCCCTCTTACCTTGAAGGCCAAACGAGAAATCGGCTTCTGCATATTGTCTTCCCCTCCCGGTAATCCTGATAGTATGCTTATATTATATGAAACAAAGGATCCTTCGTTAATCTTTTTTAGGATTGGAATTGCGATTGGGTATAAACAGTGGATCCACCAAACTATCAAATTAATGTTGGATAAGTATGATGTTCTCACTAATCCTGTCATCTGCAATAGAACGTTATATTGTCATACTTTTAGTCGTCCCAAACTGGTAAAGATTGAACTCGGCATGCCGGACTTCCGTCTTCCACTGACTTTGTTTGAGGAGTGCATACCAAGTTTCGGAGAAGATTCAATAATGTTTAGTAATTATATGATAGAATCATGTGGTGAGCTCTTTCTAATTTATTTGGTTAAAAGAGCGTCAGTTGATGGACAACAATCTCCACTGCAAGTAATTTCTGTAGAGGTTTTTGGACTGGATTTCTCAGCCATGGTATGGAACAAGGTTGAAAGTATCAAGAACAGAGCATTCTTTGTTAGTGTGATATCGTCCTTCTCTTGCCCAGTAACTTCATTGCCAGAAAGCCATATCTATTTTACATTACCTATGGATAAAAGCCTCTACTCATTCAATATGGATGACAAAACTGTTTCAGTTTCTTTGGCTGGTCCGAATTTTCCAATCTCATGTTGTTCGCCCATCTGGATCATGGCAGACTTGAGGTATGCTAGTGTTGTTGTTATTATTATTATTTTTTTTTAACATGATCAATAGTAATGTCAATTCAGATATTCAACTTTTACATTTATATAACAAATATAATTGATATAATTGATTACTAAATCTATGTTATCTATGTTTTTCTTAGGCTAACCAATATCCTAAGACAAAGTAAGGGTGACATACAAGTAGAAAGGAAGGAGATACAACTACCTAAAAATAGAGAAATTGTAAAGCATGGCAAGCTTGAACAAGTAGATGGGGATTTTGTTAAGCTTCCTTTAGATGTGTTATTTGCAATTGGAAAGTGCCTTGCACCACATGACTACCTGAACTTTCGGTCTGTCAATAAAAGGTTTCGAATGTCAGCCCCTCCAATCCGGTGGACAAGTGCAGCCTTAGAAGGTTTTGAAGGTTATAATTTTCTACTGCCTTGGCTTATGTTATGTAGAAAAGGTGACAGTATTTGCAGCTTCATTGATCTTTGGGGCGCGAAATATCCCTTGGTCATCCCCAATAATCAATTGAAAAATGTCACGAGGTGCTATTCAAGGGAAGGTTGGTGTCTAATGTTACAAGGAGAACATTCCATATTTCTTTGGAATCCTTTTGCAGAGAAAATCATTCTGCTCCCAGATCTGCCCTGGGAAGGTAGAACAATTCATTGCTTCGGTTTCTCTTCCTCAATTGATTGTGTTGTTTTGATTGGTGTTACTACTTACGGATATGATTGCATTGACTACATCTTTTTGGAGGAAGGACGATGGAATAGTCTTCATGCATCTTTGGACTTGTTTGTACTTGCTGGCTGCAGTAATTTGACATTCCATGATGGGGCTTTCTACACTTTTGATAAGAATGGAAAGCTATTCACATTTAAAGAAGGCGCATTCAAATTTTTTGACAAGCCTGAACAGCCTTGCTGTTTTCACCAATGCTATTTGGTAGAATGTGATGGGAAGCTTTTGTCAGTGTTTGTGGGTTTCTTAGGAAAGTGGATTCGAATTTTCAGCTTAAATGAGTCCCAGATGGTCTGGGTTGAAGTTAAGAGTCTTGGAAGCTATACAATTTATGTTAGCTATTATTCATCTTTTGCCATACCAGCAACTCATGGAATGGAGAACAGAGTTTATTTCCCAAGATTCTATGGCAAGAATGCTGTCTACTATTCTCTTAGCTCCAGAAAGTTACACTCTCATAGTACTGAAGAAGTCCTAGACAGCTTTAACAACACAAAAGAACAATTGTATTCTAGTTGGATTCAACCCAAGTGGTCTTAGATCACTAAAAAACTTTCTCATGGTTCATAGAATGCAAGGTCTGCCTTCCATTCTTTTTACCTTATATTTTTTTTCTATCTAGATTCTAGAAATTTATCTTTCAATCATTTATTTGATTGTGTTGACTCTAGATTATTTTACATGTTTTGATTGCTGTTGGTTTAAATTACCCTGAATACTGATTTCACTTCCAAGTCTTTCCTGTAAAAAGCAAGAATGACTAAATTTAGTGTCTATATAATTGCTCTCACTACTCAGGAAATATATTACTGATGTGATGGTGATATTTGATTTTTATTTATGGGGAAAGAATAGTCTCCTGCTATGATAAGCGGGCCAATAAACTTAATCAAACTCAAGATAATGTGATGGTAAGTAATTGTTTCTGTTCTTGAGAATGGTGGCTTGCAGTAGATATGACCTCTAGTTTTATATTGAAATTGCAATTTTAAAGTTAAGTTTTTGGAATAATAGTCTTTGGGTATAGCTTTTGGATCCGTATGTTCATTCAAATTTCTGTCATTCAAAGCCTTTTTGAATGTGAAATAAAGCTGGAAAATGAAAAAGAAAATGGTTGTAAAAATTGCATTCTAAAAAATTCATGGGAAATTGTATTAGCAATATGGGGGAATAATAGAATGGAAAAATAGAAGAGGCTGTGATAAACAAAGGAAAAGTTAGGACAAGCTCACTGAGTTGTACATGTTGTTAATGTGCTTACATGTTACATCTACAATTATTAGCTTACAATTTTGGACTCTGAGATTCAAAATGTTGAAACCTAAAAAATGAATGGTTTTATTTTGTGGAAGGTTGTGGTTTGGCTATGGTTAGTCAAATCGACGTTTTATTATCTTTAACTTTTTAGATTTCTTTCAATGCTCTGTAGGGTTCTAGTTCACTAACTTCATTTGATTATTGTTTCCTATGTGAGTAACCTCTTTGTTCTATTGAGTTTTGAAGTGCATTAACATTTGATTTGGGCCTGAATGAGATAGTTATTACTAGATTTTAGACATTATTTGACATTGTTGAGACAGATTATGCAAATAGCAAAGATGTTTGAATCAAATGTACATTTGCTCCTCTCCAGGTAACTAAAGCCTTAAACTACTCTCATAAATATGGCTACAAATGTAAGTTGATGGCACCAGCTGTCAAAACAAGCCAGATTTATTCAGTCTTCTGAGGTAACATATCACTCACCTTTTGATTGCTTTTAGTTGAAAATATGAACAAGAAAAACTTAATATTGATTGTGCCTGCTTCTTTCATGTATTTTCAGGGTTGATTGTATCATTACACCGTCACATTCTCTTAAAGAATCTGTTACTCTTCCCGATAAAGCACTCCTTTCTTAGGTAATTGCTAATCTGCAGCCCAGTAGGAAGTATGGAGGTGGGGTCCCATGTGCCAAGACAAGATGCATATCTCTTCCTTTAATTAAATTTTATTTGAATTAGGTGACTAAGAGAGATTTTAGGAGGAGATCATGCTAGGGTTAATTACAGTCATTGGAGAGGTCAAATACAGTTGACAGACTTGGAGTAAAAATGGGAAACTATTGCTGCTAACGGAGAAGACTGAACATGTACAGAAAGTGGTGAGAAGTGGACCAAAAAACATGGGAAACACCTTCAACAGCAAGGTAAAAGCATCTTCTTTGATAGAAATTAGTTTTTCAGGTCTAGCCCTCTCGAAAATCATGCAGCATGCCACAATTTTAGATTTCCAGATTTTATCAACCAGCCTGCAGCATAGATTTCCATATTAAAGTTCAAAGACCCATTCTTGTTTGTAGCTTTAGTTTAAATCTTTTGTTTTATCTGAAGATTTCTATAACGATTGCATCTTTGTTAATATTTGAAGATTTGGAAGTGAACAAACCTTGTTCTTGGGATTTGCCCTGTAAATTTGGTTAGTAATTTTCAATGGATTCTACTCCTTTTAAGTGTTTATTTGTTTGGGTTGAATGATTGCTTCCTTTTTGCCTTCGTTCATGCTTAAAATTCATCATCTTTGGATTGTTTTCTTTTGGTTTTGAAGTAGGAATTAGGTTGTAATTTTCCAAATCTTAGATTAATTAGCAATTAAATTGTGTTCTAGTTTAATTTAGCATTAGATCTTCAAGTAGTTTAATTGGTTTTAGATTAATTTGAGAGTGTTCTTAATTTCTCTGAAGTTGAGTTTTTGGAATTCATCATGGTTTTGTCCAGTCATTTGTTTTTGAATTTCCTTTGGATGCATGCTGTTTTTGTGTTGTTTTTAGTTAATTTATTTAGGATATTTGTGTTTAGTTTAGGATTTATGCCTTTTTATAGATCTTTGTGGTTTTAAAGTTCTTGGAGTTGTTTAAGGCAAGTAGTAATCTATTTCACAAAACACCACTCTCTATTTTGTAGCATCGTCTGAGGCATAAAACATTTAAAAATAGACGTTCTTTCTAATCATCTGACTCGAAGGTCTCTTGTTAAGGAGTTGTTGAACAAATCTCATTTTCTGGTTTTTAGACAAAACAAGTGGCAAGCCTTAAATTTAGACTTACATTGCAGGGGTTAGCCAAGGATTTTTGAGGAAATATAAAGGTGTAACTTTTTCTTTTAGTAATTAAGACTACCACCTTTTAATAGTTTCTAATTAAAAATATAAACTTTGTAATTTTACTAATTAAGGTTATCATGTTTTAAAATTTTTTAATCATAGATATAATTTTACCCATCTACTTAATCCTTTTTTATAAAAATTGTAAAAGTCATTTTTAATTAAAAACTTTTAAAAAATGATAACTTTGATTAATAAAAAAAAAGGGTCATATCCCTAATTAAATTTTTTTGAAAGATTATATTTTCTTTGTACCAAATCTCAATGTGACATTAATGTAAGTTTTTTTAATTATTCCCCATTATACATGCTCTACTTTGCGGAAAACTAGTTTCGCACTTCAAGTTCAAGGGCAAATATTTGATTTTTGTCAAAAACAACAAAGGTGATTTAAGGTAAGGTTGGAAAGATATATATATCCTTAAATTGAGTGGTCAAAAATGTAATTTAACAAAATGAAAAGTACAATATGTGTGGACTTAACAATATTCTTTATAATTTCAAAAGTTATATTTATTAGTAAACAAGTATCGTATTCTAGATCAAAATTTTTTTTATCTAAACTGCAACTCGTATTAGTTCAAGGGCTCTTATCTGCATCAAGAGTTTATTACACTCGCATTATTATCATCATTTAGAAGATCCATAATATGCTCTGGGACTTGCCCAATCCAAAACTCATCCTCATCCACATGGGCAGCCCGTTGCGCTAATCCATGAGCTACCCTATTGTCCTCTCTCTTAAAATGCTGCAATCGACAACTCTCAAATCGCTTCATAAGAGCTCTAAAATCATTAATCGCAGCACCCAACTCTGTGTGAAGCAACATGGAAGAGGGGTCAATTAATTTCTTTTAAATACACCAAGCTAATGTTAGAATTAGCCTTTAAAATCTTTCAAATAGGAATTAGTCTTAAAATACTAAAAAAGATGGCCGAGGATGCCTTAATGCAAATACAAAAATAAATAAATAAATACTAAATTTAGTTCTCAACATTTGTCATAAATACTAGATATTGTCATAAATTTAGTTCTCAACCTTTGCCATAAATACTAAATATTGTCAAAACCTTTTCTTTAGATTAAAAGTGGTCCCAACCTTTTTAAAATCACTGAGTCTAATCCTACCATTACTCACTTCCGCTAAATTTCTAAAGAAATTCCTAATTAAAATTTTGGAGAGCCACCAAGACCCTTAAAAAGAAAAAAAAAAAAATTGTTACACCATTTTTTTCCAAGATTAAACATATACTTCCTTTTTTTAAAAAAATTGCTGATCCTTTTTTTTTTTCCTTTTGGAAATTCCAAATATCATGTTTCATGTTTTCCCCTTTTACTTAACACTTTAATGCAAACCTCTTTTGTCAACTATCAATAGCATAACTTAATAATTTAGTAATATAATGAATTTCATAATCCAAATATTTTTTAATTGCATTTTATTTGTTGTTAAAATTATTATTTTATTAAATACATAAAAAATATAAAATAAAAATTTATCTCAAATTATAGGATTGCAATATGTAATATATACATAAATTCTTATTTGTAAAGAAAAAAAAAAAAAAGAAAATTTCCCAAAATTTTTTCAATAAAAAGCAACACCATCAATAAGGTGCTCAAACTCATCTAATCAAAAGCAGCGCGTTGTCCATAAAATACCATCAAAATACGCGCACATCCATAGTAAAAGTTGAAAGAATATTTTTAAAATCATAACTCAAAATTACTATATTGAGTTCATTTGACGTAGGGTTAAGTTATTTAAAAAATCTAAAATTTAGCATAAATAAATTTAAGGCAATGAAAATTAAAAGAAAGACTATGTAAAAGTTTTTGTGGGTCTCTCAAAATTCTTATTGGTTATGTTTGGGAACTTAAATTTGAATTTGATGAGTATAATTAAAATACATGTATTTAAAATATATATAATTTAAATATATGTATTTTAAAATATATTATTTGGATAAAATAAATAAATAAATTTAAGGCAATGAAAATTAAAAGAAA